ATTAACGAGAAGAAAATTAAGTGTAAGTTGCCTTCCGTCTTCAAATTTAATGAACAAGAAATACTTAATCCTACTCAAATAGCAAACCGTTTTTGCGAGTATTTTACGAATATTGGACCTAACTTAGCTAAATCAATTCTGGCATCTGACAAATCTCATCGTTGTTTTCTGAAAGAAGGCTTTGTTAATTCATTTTTTCTTCAATGGGCATCAGAACTAGAAGTTACTGAGATTTGTAGTAGCTTTCAATGCGGTACTGCTCTAGGATATGATAGTGTTTCAGTGAATTTTCTTAAAGAGTCTTTTAACTTAATCTGCGCACTATTGACATATATAATTAGCTTGTCTCTTAATTCTGGAGTTGTACTCCAAGAAATAAAAATTGCGCAAGTTATTCCATTGTTTAAATCTAGTGATAACTCTGTGTTCTCTAAATTCTTAGAAAGAATCGTCTATAATCGCCTTATTAATTTTTTAAATAAATGTGATATTCTTTCCCAGAATCAGTATGGATTCAGAAAAAATTCTACTGCACATGCTTTAATCCAATTGTATGACAAGATCTCAAATGCACTTGATAATAAGGTAACTTTAGGCCCACTCATTGACCTAAGGCCTTTGATACAGTAATTCATCAAATTTTGCTCGACAAATTAGAACATTATGGAGTGCGTGGCATTGTTTTACAATGGTTTAAAAAGTTATCTTTCTTGTCGAAAATGATTTGTGCATAATAATGGTTACAACTCTTCATCATTAGATATTACTTGCGTAGTCCCTCATGGATCTATCTTAGGTCCACTGTTGTTCTTAGTATATATAAGTGATCTATGTAATGTGTCAAAGGACTTAGAGCTGAAATTATCTGCTGACAACACTAATGTCTTCTATTCGCATAATGATGCTTCCAATCTAATGGAATTTGTAAATTTAGAATTGAAAAATATAACATGTTGGTTTTTTACCAATAAGCTATCTACTAATGTTAAGAAATCGAATTTTGTCATATTCAGTCAAAACAGGCAAACAGTTGATTTAGCCTTTAATATTAGAATTAATCCATTGATGATGTTAAGGAAGCTACTTTTCTTGGTGTAATTTTCGGTGAACATTTAACAGGGAAATCACATATACATAATGTTGTACAGAAAGTGTCTAAAACCATAGGTATAATTTATAAATCAAGCTTTTGCCTCAATAATTCCTCATTACGGATACTTCATTTTAGTCGTATTTTTACATAAGCTCGGATTCCTTTGTTCTCTTCGGGGGGAATATATTACATAACCCCCGAATCAACTGTCTGAAAAGCTGGGTGCGGCTTTGATTCTTTGAAGGAAAGAGCGGGGCTAATGAACAGCTAATTGGAATGTGAGGGGATTATGTATTACTATGCAAGGGGAACAAGTCACTTATCCCCCTTGCATATTAATACATAATCCCCTCGCATTTCAATTAGCTTTTCATAAAGAAAAAATTCACAAATGTTTATTGGAAATATTAAACACAACGCCATAATCACTGAAATTAAACTGAGCTGCGTTTCTTTTGAGCCACATTCACAGCTTTTCTTAGTTGCTGGTTCATCGATTTCCACAGCCAGAACGACAGTTCAAAATTGAACAGCGTCTTTAAAATTGTACGGTTCCACGTATGTGTCGCTGTCATGATAAGGTGTTCCGTTCTTTAACCAGTCATCCCAAACTCGTGTACTCCATGAAGACATGTAGTTGACCTCTTTGTGTTTTTTGGTGTTCTTCCTTCATTCCTCGACTGAATTTCCTTGTCCATTCCAGTAGTGATCCCTCGCCCGGAATCTTTGTCTGTAAACATGCAGGTCAGTCGAAATATCCTTGGTGCAAAAATTGAAATTGTCAACTGCTTGCTCGTTTTTTGCACCCGCAAATGAAGATTCAAATTGCTTTTCGAAAGCTCTTGCAGTACCGCCACTAAAGCTGCTTAGTTTGAGTAATAAACGGTTCTACTTGTGGCTCTGAATCACTCGACACTGCTAGCACTGCTAGCACTGCTCAGGCTGTTTCTAGCATTCATTACAAACAACTAATTTGAAATGCGACTTTGAAAAACTAATATAATTAAAAAGCCGAGAAAGCTGTGAATGCCACCAGTGCCAGTATGGAGTGTTAACAAACAAAAGAAAGATGAACAATAGAGGCATTTTTGTCAATGTATTTTGCATCCCTTGAGGAATCCTCGCCAATGTAAAAATAAGCCGTTTATCGGCCTTCAGCTCGTGGTTATGTGATTTATTCCCCTCGTGCATTGCCCGAGGGGAATAAATCACATAACCCCTCGCTTCAGGCCAATAACCCTCACTTATTTACCCATACTTATTCTACTGCGTAAGCGTCTGGGCATCAACCTACCCACCAAACCTCAGAAGATTAATCACGCTTCAAAAAGGGTTATAAGAATAATGTTGAGGAGTGCTTTTGATGCTCACACTGACTCTTTATAATTTAAAAATTCTGAATCTCGAGAGTATCTACAAACTTCAAATAGGAAAATTTATGTATCAGGACAGATCTGGCTTACTTCCTTATAGCTTCAAAAATATGTTTTTGGCAACACACCAGGTAGATTCTTATGGCACTACAAGTTCGGAGCTTTTCTATTTACCACAATGCAGGACTAATATAAGAAAGTTCTCTATCATTGTTACGTGGGTAGTCTTTTAGAGGACGGGTAGCTTGCAAGCCAAATTAAATGCAGGGTTGTTGGAACAGCAACAAGATGATTTATTCCAAAAATGAACGTAGTTTCCAGGAAGTAGAACTCCACAAAAGCACGTAACTCAATAAACTTACACGGCCTCCGCCAACTTCAATTAACTTGATAAACTTATATGGCTTCTGCCAACATGAATAAACACTGCTTCCGTCACACTTGACCAAACATGACTAATGTCAAACTCTCTTTGCTTATGCTTTCGTAACATAACCCCCTTTCAGAAGAAATGTCCTAAATTTCCAATACAACTAAAAAATTGTTAGCTAATATACAACAGTGGTAGTCCAGTGTCTCTCTCTAATCCGCTCGAACATTCTCTGATCCTTTTATGGCTTCCACCTCGAAATTGTAACTTTGTAGAAACATAGCCCATCGCATGAGGCGTGCGTTGGTATATTTTGCGCTGTCCATGTACCTCAGCGGCTCGTGGTCTGTCTGCAGCACAAAAGGTACACCGTATAAATATAGATGAAATCTCTTGATTCCCCATACAATCGCTAGGCACTTTTTCTTGAATGTAGAGTAGTTGCGCTCCACACTTGACAATTTCTTGCTTGCATAACAAACCGGGAATAATTTCTCATCGTGCCTTTGCATCAATACTGCACCAATTCCATTGTTGGAAGCGTCCGTCCGTAAGAAATAGGTTTTAGCTGGATCGGAGAGACGTAGAATAGGTTCAATTGTTAGGTAGGACTTGATTGTTTGGTAGGCTTTCTCTTGTGCTTCACCACACTCGACTTTATTGGGTTGGCCTTTCTGTGTGAGATCAGATAAGGGCGCTGCGATCGATCAAAGTTGGGAATGAAATCTCTCTAGTATCCTCCTAGACCCATAAATGACCGCACCTGTTTCTTTGAGTTGCCGCCGCGTTAATCATTCCAAACAGCATCTTCAAGAACTCGTACGACCTGTCAGGTGTTACAAACGCATGTCCTTCTCTGGTATAGCTATCTGCCAATGCCCCTTGCTAAGGTCAATTTTTAAGTACAACTTGTCTCCAGTAAGCTTCTGGAACAAGTGTTCAGCAGTTGGCATAGGCTCGGGATAAAATACAGTTAGTTTATTTAATTTCCGATAATTAACGCACACGCGGTTTGTGTTGTCTTTTTTCTTCACTACTACAACAGGTGACGTATACGGAGAAGTTGACTCTCTAATAACTCCCATGTTGATCATATCGACAATATCTTTCCTCAGTTATTCTCTCATGCTGTAAGGTATTGGGTAAGGTCTTGATCTAACCGGCTCGTCTGAAGTGAGTCTAATATGATGCTGAACGAGATCTGTAGTGCCTGGTGCTTTAGTAAACAAATTCGTTATATTTTAAATGTGCTAGCTGGTCTTGGACAAATAAGGAAAGGTAAAATTTTTTACCATGATCAACCCTGATTTGATTAAATAAGCCTTCCTCTGTGGCAATAAACCTGTAAGTGACAAGCAGTATTGAGTAACATTTTTTTTTAAGTCAACAAGCCCCACACACTTCTTTGGCAGGAGCCACTAGGAGACTTTCTTTCGCGTTTCGATAGCTTCTTCAGTCCCATATTGCAAATTGCTCATTTCGCGTTACTGGATGTACTGCGTGATGTTCCAACAAAACAACTTCAGGGAGGGTTGGGGAGAGTAGAAAGAGGCTAAACTACATCTTCAGGCCTATTGATCAGCGGAAATCAATTCGATATGGCGGCACAAATCGGAACAAAGCGTTTTAGCCACTGTTTTATTGATATTTGCTTAAAGCTTTCCTTTCCAGATGCCTTTTATGCAAAAAATGTCACGAATGGAATGGCAAATTTGTTTTATGAAACAACGAAAAGCCTGTTTTCCTCAAAACAGACCTTGTTAGGCCTATCAGTCCTCGGAGTGAAGAAGGACACAGGTAACCCTGAGGCCGTACCACTAAAGAAAATTGATATGGAGACTGTAGCAGGGGCATTGGTGGATATCTTTAGCCGTCTAGGAGTACCCGAAGAGATCCTGAGTGATGTGGGCACACAATTTGTTTCTGATTGCGTGAGAGAAGTCACTCGACTACTAAGCATTAAACAGCTTACAACAACACCCTAGCACCCGATGTGTAACAGTTTGACGAAGAAGTTTATTGGAACGATGAAGTCTATGCTGAAGAGACTGTGTAGTGAGCAGCCAAGACAGTGGCATCGCTGCATAAATCCACTGTTGTTTGCTTATCGTTAAGTCTCCCAAGAGTCCACTGGTTTTTCGCCATTCGAGCTGTTAGAGGACCAATGACTATACTCAAACAGCTGTGGACAAAAGAAGTTGAGGAGCGTGAAGTAAAGAACAGTTACCAGTACGTTTTCGAGTTGCAAGAGAAGTTAGAAGATACCCTTAAACTCGCCCATAGTGAATTGGAGAAAGCCCAGCAGAATGGAAAACACTATTACGACCGCAGGTCTAAAGTTAGGAAGTTTCAACCAGATGAGAAAGTGGTTGTGCTGCTACCTACTGACCATGACAAGTTACTTATGCAGTGGAAAGGTCCCGTAGAAGTTAGTTCAGTAGAAGGTCTTAATGACTACAAAGTGAAAATAAAAGACAAGGAGAAAGTTTACCACGCTAACTTCTTAAAAAGTGCAGTAGCTGTTGAAGCAGGCACTACGAGTATGGACGATGCTGTTGACTGTGCAGCTAAAGTTGAGGAAGCAGAGGGAGACAAGGTTGATTTCTTAGATGGTGGATATGTAGCCAAGGAGTAAATCGAGGATGTTACAACTGGACCAAATCTTACGGATGAGCAACAGACTGATTAATCCACAGAGAGACCCTCACCGACAAACTACATCAAAGAAGGTAAGTGTCAATTCTAGGTTTTTGTTACCTGTACTACTTGATACTTTTATGAATGTTGTAACCACAGTCATGCCTGAAAGTACATGTTTTGTAAAAAAAGGTTAAAACACTTTTGGAGATTATTGCCTGTGATTCAATCTTCTTCCATTAACCTACCAACCTACCTAACCAACGCAGTTACTGAGGACTTATAAATGTTATAGTTCAATTTTTGAATTGGCTTAATTTTATTTCTAAACTAGTTCAATATTTTTTAAACTGGTTCTTTTTTTTTAAACCAGTTTAATTTATTTAAGCTGCAATCAGGGATAAAAGTAGTTGACACACTTGTTTAAAACTGGTGCTTTTAACAAACATTTAATTCATCTATTATTTCATTCTTTTTAAACGCCGTAAATCCCCTCACCCCCCGAATTAATGTTGTCTGAAGTAGAAAAAAGACTTGAGGGTCCAAAATTCAACATTGATTTTGGGGGGAAAGGGGTTGGGGTAGACAGGGGAAGGGGATAAGTATATCCACTATGCAAAAAGGGGCCATTTTACGGAAGTGTGCCAACACTTTTGTCCCTCATTGTCTGAATGCAAAATTGTGCTACTGCACACAAGTTGAGCCGTGCATGACACTGATTTTAACTGAAATTAAAGAAATCAAAGACATAATTATGTTATTGGTGGTGGGGGTGACATTGACTTATTCACGACCGAATTATAGGGCCAATTGGAATTACGTGATGACGTAATAAAAGGGCTGCGATATCCAGAATTAACGTCGATATGGTTTACAAGCTAAAAACTAACGCTGAAACTCGCGCACATGTACAACTTTTGATGAATTTCAAGGGTACGCGTACTGAAAATGTTTTTAATAAAGTGAATATTTCTCGTTCTTCACTTTATCCGATGGTTAAGGCGCAAACAATCACGGGTAGGGTAAGGATTGACACGTAGTGGGGATAGTCACTGGCCGGCCACGGAAATATGGAGCGTTGGTGCGGAGCGGCCGTCACTGCGTTCAATATCGAAACTACGGAAAAGTGAAGGTAAATTCATGGCCAATTCAATAAAAACTAAGGACAGCGTAGCAAACATTGCAAGTGTCCACGAAAACAATTACTTTCAATCCCACCTCGTGACACCCTGTGTGACATGATAACGCAACTCAAATAGCGTGACATGAGCGCATATGTCTGTGTATTTGGACTGTAATTCTCAAGCGAAACCCTGTGTTTTTGTCTATTGTCGGCAGAGAAAATGAAAAGAGAGCTTTGAAGCGTGAACTGGTATTTGACTCTCAAAGAAAACGACAGCTCAAACTGAGGAAAACACTGCTTCCTTCGTGTTACAACGGTTAACCACGTTTCGGCAAACGGAAAGTAACATTAGTCTGTTATGACCTCTTAATGTCGATATGTATTCTCGTGGTTAACCGTTGAAACTCCTTATTTGCACAACATCGCTGGAATTTTTCTCGCCAAGAATACGTATTGCGAAGTACTTTCTACATAGAGGAATCTTCTTTTGCCTTTTGCGAGGAATTAGCGCATAAAAAAGGAAAATTTTCCAGCGCACGGCCGTCATCGATCACATGTCATCCCGCTTTCCTTGTCATCAAGTGAACTTCTGGGCCAAAGTAATTGCTGTTTTGGCGATGATGCAAACTGGTGTGTCTATCTTGAAAACAATTTCTTTGGTATTCTGTGATTTACGAGCTGGGAAATGAAATAGAGTTGTCCATCCAACATCAATAAAAAATCATGCCACTGAATAAATGGCAGGCGGTCATCTAAAATCATTACAAAAGTACATTCCTAACCTGTTCGACGCCTACCTACGCTAAAGGTTTGGATCAGTTAGGTTTGAAAAGGTCTCCAAAAAAAACCCACATCTATATATAGGGCATAGCACAAGCGGCTGGCCCATCATTTATGAGGTTCATAACCTGTATATTGTTCACGTCCTTTCACTAATGGCACAAGTCAATGTCAAAAATAATGCATGTCCCCTCCTTCACTTTGCAGTACTTCATGCGCTTAAGTTAACCATTTACCAGAATAATTTTCGTTGTACCTTAGTGTTTCCATCCTTTTTCCACTATTGATAATACTTGTGAAAACATTACATCCGCTGCAACGGCATTGATCACAACACAAATGATTTCCTCTCGGACCCCACAGGGTATCAGGAACGCGCGAGGGAGTACAAGATTAAATAATGACATACGCTTTGTACATTTTACTCTACGTATACTACAAATCAGGACGAAACTTTGCAAATTTTTGTTTCTAAAAAAAACAATTTGGCCCATAGAGTAATGTCATCGCACAAAAATTCAGCAGCGTCAAAAATCTAGCCGGAAAACACAGATACATATTTCAGACAATCAGAAACAAAAGTAGTTGACACACTTGTTTAAAACTGGTGCTTTTAACAAACATTTAATTCATCTATTATTTCATTCTTTTTAAACGCCGTAAATCCCCTCACCCCCCGAATCAATGTTGTCTGAAGTAGAAAAAAGACTTGAGGGTCCAAAATTCAACATTAATTTTGGGGGGAAAGGGGTTGGGGTAGACAGGGGAAGGGGATAAGTATATCCACTATGCAAAAAGGGGCCATTTTACGGAAGTGTGTCAACACTTTTGTCCCTCATTGTGGTTCTTTTTTTTTTTCAAACCAGTTTAATTTTTTTAAACCGGTTCATTTTTTTTGGAAAACAGTTTTTTTTTTAAACTGGTACATTTAAAAAAAATGGGTTGTACTCCACATTTCTCTTTCTCCTTTAACACCTCTTCTCATTACCCTCTCTTTCTGTGTCCCTTCCTTACCCCCACTACTTATATTACCTGAACATTTTTTCACTCAAAGACAAATAACTTTTACCTCAAGGAGATTTGAACCTCTACCTCAAGTGTAATGCTTGAACGTCTTCTCTGAGCCTCAATCCACAGAGTCACGCTTACTTGGGTTGAAGATTTCCAATTTTTGAAAATATTTATTTCAATCACTCATTCCTAGACCCCCACCAGCCCAAATAAATCAACACGTGCCTGAACCGAGTCACTCGCAACATGGCTGCTGAACGTGTCGAGTGTGTCGACAAAACTGCTTTTTATGAAGCTGTATACGTCCTTAAAAGCCAGCAAAAAACAAAGCAATCTCAAATAACACTGTTTGTGGAAGAAAAGTTCTACAACAAGGCAAAGCAGTACCTCAAATCGATAATTGAATATGATTTAATCGTAGACCAAGTTACCCTGCGAACAGAGTCTCCTTCGATCTTCCTAGATAACTTATCTAGGAAAGATCGAAGCGACTCTGCTAGCAGGGAAAGACCAAGTTCAAGAAGACCGCATAACGCCTCCGCTATTGACTTGGCAAGCAACAACAATAACCCGAAAGAAATGGAAGTACAGTAACGATAATATCGTAACTGAGAAAAACAAGAAAGTTGTTTCCAAGCGGCACCTTTATGATGTACTATCCTTTGCCCACAACAGAATTGCACATCAAGGAAGACAGATCACAATGAAGTGGATCGCAGAAAACTACACTGAGGTAAATCAAAAAGTTGTGAAAATATTTGTGAAAATGTGCAGATTTTATCAAGAACAGAAAACAATAACAAGCAGAGTAAAACCGGCGCTGCAAGCTCAAACGGTTCTCTCTTTGCTTGAAATCGATTTGATGGACTTTAGAAACTGCTCCTGTGCCTGCAAAGCACAGCAACAGGAATGGGCAATAAATTTCATTGGCCATC